CCAAATTATGGTCTGTTTGATCAACTATACCAACTGGTTCATTAGGAATTAGATTGTTCTATCAGTGTTTGCTTTTTTTGGCAGCAGTGTTGCCCTTTTTCAGAGAAGGAATCCATGAGAGTAATTCAGCTGTGTGTGTTCTTTGGAGACATCTGCCAAAGGATGAGTTACATCCCAAGAGTGCCCATTTCTTTCTGGTGACTATGACACTAACTTTAAATAAGCAGCTTATTAAGTACTCTTTTAAATTACAGATATCTATGTTGGGTCAGATTAATGAAATCCTGATCTTTTAATTAAAAAGATTTGGTTAACAATGTGTTAATCATCACCTACAGAATGCTGGCAGAGACCAAGGGAACCTATGCTTAGGACACCAGTACAAGTTAAAAGTAGCTGTACTGTGCTGAAATGGCAGTAGAGTCATGCTTTCACATACACAATGTTTTTTAGCTGATAATGATTCCATCTGACCAATGAAGCACTGATGAATTCTGGAAAAAAAGTTTCAAGGTATCTGGAAAATTTATGAGCCAAATCAACGGGAAACAAAATTGAAGAAAAATATTTTACTATCTCTATAATCTTATTTTTCTCTCAAGGTAACTTTTACAAAAGGCTGTTTATAGTATTTGCAACAATTTCCAAAAAGGAAACCCAAACAAAATAATCTGTTAGAATTGTCACGGAAGTTGAAAATATGTGTGTAGTGGCATTTATTTGTTGCGTAGTTTTGTTTCTTAGGTGGTTTTCACACAACCCTCTTGGTATGATAAATGCTTTTGCTAATGAAGACAAATACAGAATCCCGACACAAATTTCAACCCATGTTTTGATTCTAATTTTTAGAATTCAGAACATACTAAGGATTAAGCAGATAAAATAGATATAAAAATGTCACTTCACCTTAAGAAAACTATTTGCTTTTCATTTGTTGGTATCTGAAAATAGCCAAGTCTTGAGTATATATGATGAATGTATTTACATTTTTCAGAACAAAATAATCAAGTATTTGATGTCAAGTTTTGTTAGTTAAAATAATTTTCAACATAATTCTCTACACCAGTCTGTCTTCTTTTTTTCTGTTTGATTTCCTTTTCTGGTGTTAATCAAGTACAGTGAATTTCAATATTTAAATTTTAAATTTAATCAAGTACAGTGAATTTCAATATTTAAATTTTAAATTTAAATATTGAAATTCACTGTACTTGATTAACACCAAAAAATTTGTGGAGCATATGTATCTTTGCAATGTAAAATACTGGAGAGCTTCTATGTTTGATTTACCTAATTGCAGAGAAACTACAGCTACTTCCTTTTTCTCAAAAATGTACAACTTTGGAAGGACTTAAGGGAAGGGAAGGGGAAGGCAGCTTTATATGGGGGCAGAACGAGGTTAGGAAACTTCATGTGAAGAATCAGTAGTAAGTCATGGCATTAAGAAACTGAAAATATCTAAGCACACTTAGATTCTCTGCAGTGTACCAGAGAATTTCCAGCATCCTCCATTTCCTCTTCTTAGCACTGTACCACATACAATATGGTGGAAGATGTTGTGACTAACAGAAATTAACATGCACCTTATGTTGCTAGCCACAAATTCTCCATTTTAACGGTGTGGACATAACCACAACGTTTTTTTGTGGTGACTTTTGGCGGCTAAAATACAGTGGAAGCTCCTCTCTTGGGGGAAGTAGCCCTTTAATCTGATGTACGGTGCTGAAGTTGGAAGATAATGAGGTTATTTTATCTTCATTGAATAAACAATGTTGCATTATGTTCTTAAACACTAGAAATTCACTCAATGTCAGTAACAAAAACAGTGTAAAAAGTTGCTTTTTACTTTGTCAAAGCTTATGATTTATAAAATGATATCTATCAAATTCTGCATATGAACCAGCTATAGAGGAAGTTCTTTGGAAATACTTGCCATTAAGATGAAAGTATGACACTGAGCCAGACTGAATCACAAGACCTTTTTTAACTACAAATTGTGTGCATTCTGGGCTTATTGGAAATATGGAAATAGCTATCTTGTCCTCACTAATTGAAACTTATTGAAAATTTGTTATAACTGACCACAGCATTTTAAAGTTTCTTATACTTCCATGTAATAGCTCTTCATTTTAGCATGTCCATAAACTTTTAGGCTTATAAAGCCTTTTCTCCTGATTAAGTACTCTGGAATGACTTGCTCTCTACCACTACCTAAAAGGAAATTGTGATGAGGTGAGGGTCAATCTCTTTTTCCAAGTAAGATAAGTGGAAATGTCCTTTAAGTTGTGCCAGGGAAGGTTTAGATTGAATATTAGGAAAAATTACTCACCAAAAGGTTCATTAAGCACTGGAAGAGGCTGCCCAAGGCAGAGAGAGGATGAGTCACAATCTCTATTGGTGTTTAAAAGACATGTAGATGTGGCACTTAAGGACATGGTGGACTTGGCAGTACTGGGTTAACAATTGGACTTGATGATCTTAAAGGTCTTTTCCAACCTAAATGATTCCATGCCCAACCATCTCCACTAAGAAAAATACAAGAATGCTTTTACTGATCCAGCTGTTAATTGAGGCTTGCAGTATGCCTTCCCTACTGAGACAAACAAGTACCAAAGTATTGACACCAAAGATAGGCTGCTGTTTTCTCATTGCTCTATTTTCTGTCTTGACTTGATAAATAGTGATTATCTTTGTGGTTAGTATGTTCAGACACGTGTCTGGATTTGTCATATATTCAGGGAGATGTAGTTTTTCCTATCACCACTTGCTTTGTTTTGTTCTTGTGACTTTTTGAACCCGCTCAAGATTTTTGAAAACATTAGACCTTTTCAAAGGTGGTAAGAGAGAGCAGAGATCAGTATCAAGGAGGGACATTTGAAAGAAGTGAAGGAATGTTGGTGTGATGTTGGACAAAGTATTTTGAGTAGGACTTCTTTCTCTTCCTAGTTAACACCTGTACAATCAGGTGCAGAATCCCTGGAATGAAAAGGGGTCCTGGCTCCATAGCCTAATGATACTACCTACACCTAACAAGGTGGGAGGAAGGGAGATAATTTGTATGTTCTGGTGCTGCTTGTACATTTTGCATTGAAGAAAACATCAGATTAAATGTGTATGCAATATTTGCAATCTGGTTTAGTAATTCTTGCTCCCCCAAAACTGCTTTTTCAGTTACTGTGCAATCTAGGTTTTCTTGGGTGAGGGGCCTATCTACCTACCTCCCTCAGGATCAGGGGGTTTGTTTCTGGGGGACCTTCTTGCCAGGCAGACACCTCAAGCAGTACATACCAAAAACAGGTGAATTGCAGAAGTGACATGAATTTTCTTCTTCTTGTTCGTTGGTGATTATAGCTATACCTTAATTTCCAATTGATGTGCACTGTTTTAGTCATGAGTTTACAGTCATCTGGAACAGTTTCACTAGAGCTGAGAAAAGAATCTTTGAGGTCATGAAAAAGCTTCTGTTACAGTGTCTTGTCCAGTTAGGACCTTCTTTTGAATACAGAAAATTTTAATTAAAGGCAGCCTTCACTCTGATGTGATTATGGCCTTTATAGCATTTACCTCCTTTCTTTTAGCATGACTGAAAGACTGAAGAGGTTAAGAGTAGTTTAAAACGGTTCTTTCTCATTTTAGAATGACAGCCTGTGCTTGTGCTGTCAAGCAACCAGCAGCTTGGGCTGTACATCCAACTGTGAGTCATAAAATGAAAGTAATATAAAACATAAATCATTGTTTCCAAAAGCAGAATGTGTTTTTGCTAGAAGTCTTACTACCTCACTGGATATTTAACAATAACCTTGTTAATAATATGAAAAATATCCCCCCTCCTAAAGAACGTTGTTTTTTCCTATACTGTCTCCCTTTGTATAATCAGCAATGCATTTAGTATCTTTATACAAATGTCAGTGAGATACAACAAATAGCCCCAAATAAATAAATAAATAAATAAATAAATAAATAAATAAATCAGATTCAGATTTTCTACATTGCTTTTCGCATAATTTCATTTCTGGGGTATGTTTACAGATTTGTTGAGGTTCAGATCTCTTCCTGTTCATGTGCTGTGACAGCATAATTCTTGTGGTATAACAGACAACAAAGAGTCACAAATGCTGAAATGTGGTATAAAGCAGAATGCAGATGGGACTGCTTTGGGCTCAAGTGCTGTGGCTTCACAATGGCATTCAAAATAATGGCTGAGGGATGACTGTAATTCCATTTATGGGGCTCATGATTTCTCTTTCTCCTGCAGAATCTGAAATGAAATCAAGCCCCAAGGCAAGCATGAACACAGGGAATGTGTTTTTTTCTTATGGGTAGGAGAAGGGCCTCGCAAAAACTGGCTTTTTCAGTATCACAGTTTTTAATGAATTGGTTTTCAAATGTTTTTTTTTCCCTCCTGTAAGGCAGGTGGGCTTCTTTTGGAATGAGTGTGTGCATAGTCTTAGATTTAACTACATTTCCGCTGGTATTTAACTTAATTTCCGCTGGTTTGCTTTTGATTTTACTAGAAGGAGAGATTCAGGTGGTGGGGACAGAAGCCTTAAGAGGGTTTGTTTTTTTTTTTGTTTTTTTTGAAGGAGTGTGTAGAGTGCTTCAGCATCCTCAAGAGCTGTCTTAATCTTCTCAGGTCAGCATGCAGCATACCCTGACCAGGTCTTTTACTAGAAATTAAACTTTTATTTTAATTTTGACCAGTTTTAGAAAGGGTCATTTGGCTTGGGCTGAAATTCCAAAACAAACAAAAAACCCCTTGCAACTTTATGAGTCACAGGCAATGCACCACACAGATTTTAAAAAGCAATTTGTAGTTGTAGGGAAGTAAAGAAATCCCCTGTTTGTTCTCTGATTCCTGACTGGGAACTGTGAATAAATACAGTAAAAGCACTTAAAAAACCAGAAAGACCCAACTGTTACCTGCAGCCAAATCCAAAGTAAATGTGGTGTACTTAAATTTTTTGGTTTTCAGGGTTTTTTTAACATTTTGTTTTTTATTTCAGATTTCTGGGATTTGCTACAATAGCAGTATGTTAAAAGTTCATCGAATTCTTTGTGTACCCAGATGGGTAGCAAAGATATTTTCATGGACTCTTGAACCAGTCTTCTCATCTGCGGAGCCAACGAATGAAGTTCGAGTGGGAATGGGAGCCACAGTTGACATCCAGAGGCAGCAGAGAATGGAGTTACTGGATCGTCAAATCATGATGTCTCAGGTTGCCCAAATGAGGCGGCAGAGACAGCAGCAGGTATTGCTATACATTCTTTAAGGATTGTATTGTTAGAAGAAATACATTTTTTTGGTTCGTAGATTTTGCATTGTTCCTGTTTCCTAAAATTATTTTTTAATTTTTTTCCATCAGTCTTTCATACACTGTTGTACTGCTGATAGCCATTTAAGTGGTTTGTATAGCTTTGTATGTTAAAACTGCTTCACAAGATGGGAGCAGGATGTCAGACAATCTTGTGGGGATATCAGTAGTCCTGGCATTCTGTCACAAAAAGTGAGGCTGAAAGGTAAAGTGATTGCTTCTTGGTGGTCTTTAGTGAAAGCCATTGTGTAAAGTTAGAAAGTCAAAATGCTCCTTACTCTTTTGAGTATCTGTCTGGTCAGCAGCCTTTTCAGAAAGGCTGAAAATTTTCTATGAAATTCCTTTGTTTGTATAGATGTATAGGTTGTTTCTTAAGGGCAGAAATTAAAATCTCTAACTTACAGAGGTAAACCACCAGTGACTTTCTGTTTGCCATGTTTAATCCTCTTGGTTTAATCCTCTGTCCCTATTGAACAGAATAGCAGAGTCTTTTTATTTTCTCTGTTTCATACAAACTAACAAATCCAGATATTCTCAGTCTTTGTGTTGTAGGGCAGCAAAACAAGGCAGGTGGTGTCTCAATTCCTGATCTTAGATATGTTCACTGTCTTCACTGAGTTTTCTTTGCCTGAAACACAGCTCTGTACTGATACACAAGTGCTTTTTGTGTTGGGAGTAGTGCAGTGCAAACAGATATAGCTGTGTTACCCTTAATGCATTCCCAGAATTAGAGGTGTAATGACATAAAGCTTTGGCCTGCAGCTGGAGTATGAATCTTTGTCTCCAGTCCCTGATAACATTATTCGGTTTTTCTTATTTCCTTAACATTTCAATATGATGAAATTATTTCTCAAGCAGAAACTTCTAATCTATTTTTCTCCATTCCTATTAGAACCCTGATCAGTTTTAACATAAGAACTGAACTAGAAATTACTCAATTCTTGAATGTTGCCATTGTAATAGAAAATGAATTGAAACTGTATGTTGGACTACAAACAGCTGTGAGGAGTGCAGCCAGGTTTCTTCAGATGTGAGAAAGAATACACTTCCAGTTATGAAGGACAGTCTTTCTAATATCTCTTTAATTACAAAAAGTGGTAAATAAGTTCAGAATGGTAAATGATAAAAGAACTGTTGATAACGTTTTCTTCTCATCTTGTCCTTTCCCTAGGCTATGAACAATGAAAGTGGAAATTTGTCTTTTCATGTTTGACTTCAAATAGAATTCTTTAAAAAGGTGGAGGGGTTTGACTAAAATGCAGGAACACTGTTTGAACATCAGTAAGATGCTTCCCTTTACAAGTTGCTGAAACACTTTCAAGTTACCTTCATGTTTAGCCTTTAACTTGAGCACAGCATTTATTTAACTGGTGCTAATCTGTGAAACCCGTGATCAGAAGGCCATAGGATCAATGTATGAATGTTCCATAGAGGCTCTGCAGAAAAGGTGTGTCATGAAAGCTTTTGACCCACCTGGTGTTTTTTAATGACTCATTCACAGAATTTACTGGTCATCAGCTAAATCAGAAAAAGCATCACTCACAAATGTTGCTGTGCAGTGGAATAATGAAAAACAGACTATTTTCAATCTCAAAATAATATTTGAAAAGTTGAAAACCATTTTCTGGATTGGTGTACTTGGGCAATTCTTTTACCTTTAGAAATTTGGCAAGGTGTAATTTGAAGACAGTGGAGTGGAAGAGATCATGCTAGAGATGAAAAGAATTTAGATGATAATTTTACCTGTGGGAGTGAAGCTATAAAGAATGCAGCTCAGTTTCTTAGATAGTTTTTTTGTGAAATTGAAAATAATGAAAGCTGTGAAGTACATGTCAGTCATCAAAACAGGCTTTGAATTATATTCTGGTAAATGTTGTGTGGATTTCTGAAGTCTCAATATGCTGTCTGTAGGTAGTGTGCCATAGGTGAGATAAATTAACATTTTCTCTCGCACTTTCTGCTTTGCTTGGTGAGGGAAGTGAACTTTAACTTTCTTCTCTATGCCATAGTGCAAGAATTTTGTTCAGCTGCCCCTTGAGAAGGTGCTCTGCTCATTCTTCCCTCTCCTTTACTCTTCAGTTCGTCTGTTTGAGAAATGAGACAATGCAGTTTCCCAGGATGTTGGTAGCATTATGGAAGGAGAAGATCAGCGCTTCTAATGGGGCTCCATTGTCTGGGCAATGTTGGCAGACTCTCATAAGGGAGGCCCTTCTCTTAAATAGATGCTTTTTGTAGTAAGTTTATTCTTAGAGTCTTTACAAGAAATTCTGAAGAACATGAGCCTGACAGGTTATGTAAACAAACATTAAAAAGTTTAAATAAAAAAAAGGGGTGGGGGCAGGGGGAGGGAAGAAACTGGGGGGAAAGCCTTTCTCAAAAGTTGTTTGTAGTATACCTCTATGATACTGAGATGTAAATAATTTTATCTTTTTTTTTTATTTCCCGTTGTTCACTAAACCCTTTTATCCAAAGCAGAATTCACTTCGGATGCTTTCTACAAAAAAGAAAAAGCAAGGAACAATCACCCCAGAATTTATTTGCTGGCAATTCTTTGAGCTTTACCTTTTCCAGTCTTTTTCTAGCTGAAATCTCCTGGTCTGGAGGAAGCATGGAACTGTGTGTGTGAGTGCTGGGCTGTCAAACACCCTTGAATTCAATGAGTGGATTGAGTGTGTGGTAGAATTTGAAAATAAGCCCACCAAGTTCATTACTCGATGTACCTTATTTTAGCTCTTAAATATTCCGCGGGCACTGTGTCTGAATTTGTTGCTAGAAACTGTTATGTTGATAGTTTCTCAGGGGAATGTGGTTAAATGGTGACTGGTTTTGTGTTGGTTTCTAGTTGCTGTGGATACAGCCCTTAAACACATGGTAGTGTTCATTTAGAAAACTTTCTAGATCTTTTTAGATCTTGTGTTCTTTATTTGCTCCTGTGGATATTGCTGAGAAATTACAATCTTGTCCCAAATGAATTACATAGCATCACCTGCATTCACCTTTAAAAGCAGTAGAATAAAATGTGTGCTATATGTATTCATTCCCTGAAAATACCAGCTTGCCATTTTGTTGCTGCTTTTTAAACTTTGCTTTCGTAGTTATTTTCTTTCACACTCTTTTGTCTATTCTATTTTGCAAATAGTTTGTCGTGTTTTTCTTTTTTTCCCATTTCTGATTTTCTGTTCCCCTTCATGTCACTGTCACATTTTCATTCCCCACTGTGCCATTTTCCTCCTACATTTTTGTCACCTCTTCACCTTCATCTCTCTTGTTTCCCATACTTTGTATTTGCCCCTATATAAAATGCTTCTTCACCTTGGGGGAAGTTCTCTCCTGTCATGTCTGTAATCAGAAATGATTACCACCAGTAATCATTTGCTATTTTATCCTTTTGCTACTGTAATATTGATAAAAGTTGGTCTTCCTCTCCTGATGTTTCTATTTCTAGATCTCTTTTATTTCTTAGTATTTTTCTAAAAAGTTTATCTTTTTTGTAACCCAAATAAAACCCCGGTGGGAAAAGGGAAGCAACTGCAGCATCTGTGCACCAGTGTGAGTATCAAGGCGTCAACTTGACTTTCACTTCCCATTGAGAACGTGGAGGGAGGCTGGCAGAGAACCAAATTGTGAATAGATAGGGAAGATTCCATGCCTAGGTGGTATTGGCTACTCTGATGTCACTACAGACTGTGATGTGGAGGTGGTGGAAGGTTGCAAAAAGGTGGGGAGCACCTTGTGTTGGCATTAAGTATAACTCCTTGGAGCACTCCTTGCTGTGCCCATTCGAGATGGGCAGCATATCAACCTCAGTCCCTTCATCTTGAAAGAATGGGTTTTGTATCTGCTGAGCATTTTAGCTGAACATGTTAAGGACATCATATTACCTTCTTCGTGGATTCTCTTAAGTGTCTTGTATCACTTAAAAGCTTCTCCAGGTTGCTCCTGATTGTAACAAGCCTGCGGCCATATATATGAAAATCTTCATTTCACTACCTCTCTATCTACCCTGTTGGCCACTTCAAGCTTACACTGTCTTTTCCCTCCTGTATTCTTGTTCTTCTCTTCCAGCTGCCATTAATTTTCACTGAGGCCAGAAACTCCTAAGATTGATACCACATGGTATCTCATATGTATATCTCATCTTCATCATATATGAGATTCTGCTGCTTGCAAAGACCAGACTTCTATAACAAAGGGACTTCCTCTTATTGTTTGTTCATTAGATGTCTTTCTCCTGGGACACAGAAGAGATGTTCTGTGGGTAGGCACACTGAGTATCTTTATTATTATGGGGAGCCTCATATCCTGAACAATTTGCAAGTTTTAGATTTTGTCAAGTAAGGACTGTGTGTCCAGATTGGTAATTTACCTTCTGGTTATATCTAAGCAATAAACTCCCAACCTTGGAAAAAAATAGATTAATGGAGCAAAGGTTTTCCTGGCTCAAGAGTTCTTCCTCAGGAATGTTATACTCATTCAGGAGGGTAGAAAAGAAATCCCCCAGTGAATATACTCGTAGACAGTCCAATTCTGCTTTTTCAAAGTGAAGAGCTAGACCCAGGCTTATTTTTTAGCTCTTCTACTGGTACTGAGGTGGCACTTCAATGAAGTTTTCTTGAATCACTTCACAAGTTTGAGTACCAGCAAGAAGCCATTCCAACAGATATTTTGAACCATGAAGACCTTCTACAACCTTTATACATTGCCAAGTCGACAAAACCCCTTGTTGTCACAGCCAGGACTTCAGATGGAAGCAGCTTTTCCATTTTGTTCCACAAATGTATGTATCATTGTCAGGAAGAAAACTACCAGACTGCTTTACCTGAATAAATGGGTAAGACTTTGAGCCAAGTGTCACACCAAGTCTTTTCTCTAATTTGGTTTCCATTCCAATCAGTCTGTGTTACTAAGGCTTCTTTGGGATTTTGTGACATATTTGAATAGAAACTGCCTTTAGCAACACTTGCATAAACTCCAAAGACAGTGATATGTAGGGTACCAATAGGATAAAAAAGCTTTTATGCCTAGACTCCAGGGAAATGTGTGCACAGGATTTGACATCATATTTTTTAAGAATTCTGTTAACCAGTGAGTGATTTACAGATTCATTTCAGCCCATGAATGATGCTTGTATGCTGCAACAGTAATCACTGTGGCTAAATTTAGACTCAGTATTCCATCACTCTTCCCTTCCTCTGCATGCCAATGTACACATGTGGACACATTTTGAAATAACAGACAGCTTCCATTTTTGTAGGGAGAACAATATCTTTTCCTTCAGACCTGTGTGTCTTAAATTCATCCTTTGCTTTTTTGTGATCTTCTGGCATTTTTCAAGCCTTGGTTATTCTCTGTAGTTGTTTAAAACTATTTTCTTTGTGTTGAAAATAAACTTGTATTTATATCAAGAGTGTATGGGGTGTAAAAACTGCATATGCTGCTGATATTGGCATGCCTGAACTCTGGTTTTTAATAGTTTCATTTCAGTAATGTATTTGCAGCAACTGATAACCCACTGCTATCTAGACATTCTGGATTACTTTGCTGTATGACTTCTTTCATGGATTCTAGGTGTGAAATTAAAAATGTTGAATTTCCTGTTGAATTTTCAGGTAATGAACAATTCATGACCATTTCCTCTACAGACTACCACAGAAACTTCAGATTTCTGTCTTTTTTATGGAAGTTGGCAATTCCACAAGCTGACAGAACTAGAGCCAGCAGACACTAGTACAACTAGAATAAGCTGAGTGTGTCTCATTAACAGCCAGCTGTCACAATCACAAGATTGAGTTTCTCTATCTCCTACTCATTGGTAGCACTCTGCTCATATATTGAACAATCCTTTTTTCTCTTGGACTGGAATGATGAAATTCTTTTTCATTTTGACTCAGCTTTTGAGCTATAGCCTTTGAATTTGGTTTAATATTTGTAATCAGATTTCCTAGAGAAGCAGCGATTGGACAACTTCATAAAGCAAAACACTGTTTTATTTCAAAACAAAGAAATTGTTTGGGAAATAGAATATTTTTATTCTCCTATGTGATTGGTCTATATTCCTTTCCTCTGGCAATTTAACTAGAGGCAATTTCTTATAAAGCGCTTATGAGATAACAAATTGCCCCAGATGTTTCCAGAGTATTTAATTCACTGCTGTTGAATCAAGTTCTGTTTACAGAAGGCAGGGGTTTTTTAGGTGTACCTGTCCCTTCATTTCTAATGAACATGGTGCAAATAAGGCATCTGTTTTGGGGGCAGTTGGTTATTGGATTCCAGGTCTGCTTCTATTGTCCTTCCAATCTGCACTTAGAGAGTCTTGATGGCCAATTTCTTCTTCCAGAGTGCCATTTTCCATAGTATGTAGTAAAAAAGAAGCCTGTGGTTCAGATAGTACATGGTCCTCCTTAATATATAGGATTTGTGATTTGAACTCTGATACTTACACATGACAGCTGTGAGCTGGTATCCACCCTTGTTCCTTAATGTGCTGCTGTGGTGGCTTAAGCCCAGCCAGCAACCAAGCACCACACAGCCACTCTCACCTCCCTCTGCCACCCTGGTGGAGTGAATCAAAACTAGGGTGAGATAAGAACAGTGTAATAATTGAAACAAAGTAAAATATAGTAGTAGTAATAATAATAAAAATAATAAAAATTTTAAAACCCACAAATATGTGATGCACAATACAGTTGCTCACCACTGGCTGACAGAGGCCAAACTCCATTCCCTAAACTGGATCAGCCCTCCTTTTGGTTAACTCACACAGTTGTATATCCTGGGCATGGTATTCTGTGGTGTGAAATGTCCTTTTGTCCAGTTCGGTTCACCTGTCCCAGTTATGCAACCTTCCAGCCTTTTTTTGACTACCTCCTCACTGGCAGAGCATGAGACACACAAAAAATAGTCCTTTACTTAAGATAAATACAGCTTAGCAAACCCACTTATATCAGTGTAGTACCAACATTATACTGAATCCAAAACACAGCACTACCAGCTGCTGAGAAGAAATGAACTCTATCCCAGCTGAAATCAGGACAGATACCTTAAGAGGTGCTACAGGTGCAAAGTGTTGACACCTTGAATATTGACTTTGAGATATTAATAAATGGAAGCTAATCCTATTTGCAGCCTAAGACAGAACTTGAACCTTCACATCCCACAATGGGATGCTGATCTGTTCTTTTCCCTATGTCATCACAGACTAGTCTTTTATATACTAAGGGATGTGCTTATGTAGTATTTTGAAAGATTTAGGTTTGAGTTTCCTTTGTGCCAAGAGTTTGTTATCTCAACTTGTCAAATCAAAACAATTTTAGAACTCTGATTTCTCACTTTGGTTCCAGTCTCTTCTTATTCCTTATTACTCTTTGAAAAGTTTTTTGCATAGAAGGTGAGTGAAGAATTATCTATCTAATCATTATGCTTCAATACCAGTTCAGTGTCACAAGTCCAGATCCAAAGAGCCATGGGGTAAGGATTAAAACTGACTCTGTTTTGTGCAAAATATCTAATACAGAGCTAAAGTTATTTCCCCAAGTACAGACTCTGTGCTCATGCTGGTGGACCTGCCTTCAGCAGCTGGAATACTGGAACCTCCCAGTGCATGAAATCCCTTCCATTGTCTCTCAGGCAGCTTCAGAAGCCAGATTAAGGTGTTCCTTCTAGATTTCAAAGGAAATAGCTGATCAGGCTTCAGAAAAGACCACATGTGGATTTCTGAACTTGTGTGACATATGAGCTCCTCAGGGACAATGCAGGCATCAAAGTTCAGGATGCAGAAACTAAGAACTGGAGACAGAGCCTTTTGGCTGAATAGACTTGTCTGTTGGATAAATTTCCAGGAAATTAGAATATCATTAGAAATTGCTGGAGTGCTTTACTTCGTGAAAAAATCTTTCTGTCGTTAAGAACAATGCTTACAACATTAATACTGTTATGTCTCTACCCCCTTTTAAAAGAGGGAAGTTATTAAAGTAAGAGGAAAAAAAACACCAAAAAAAGTCTCCCCAAACAACCAAAAAACAGAAGAGTTTTATCATCACAAAAAGAGACAGGCCAGACCTTGAGTAAGTGTACTGGAAATTTCACCATTTTTCTCTCTTATGCAATGTTTAGGGCAGCAGACATCATGTCATCCAAGGCTATGCTTTTTTTTTGTTTGTTTATTTATATCATCGGTATATGGACTTTGGAGTCAATACATGGTTGAAAAATTTATGCCAGAAAAGCAAGTCAGCATTTCTTGTTTTCAGTAAATTTTGTTACGAAGCTTTATATGAGAAAAAAATAAGACAGTATTTATGTCTTTATCAAGTAAAGGTTTCTATACAGAGTGGAATATTTTACAAATGTAACTTTAAAAGGTGAAATGCAAAGCAATTTCCTTTTTCTTTTTTCTTACTGTAGTTATTATGTTAAGAACAGGACATATCAGGAGGTACTTCCTGTTTGTGCAAGTAGATGGCAAGTTGGCATTAACCATGTACAGGAGATAACATTATCAAAATATCTTAACCACGTGCATCACTTTCAAGAGGATTTTTTAAAAGCCTTTAATTTCTTTTGAAATTAATGTAAGTAAGATATGTGCATATCTGAAGGCTACATAACTAGATATTTGTCAATTGTCCACAATTCAGCACTTTCATTTGTGAAGCTTTGGATAAGAAGTGCTTTTACAAAATATGCCATGGCAGGTGTGTATATGGGAAACAGGTTGAGCTGTTTTTCAAACAGAGAAGAAGGAGATTATCTGAAAAGAAGTGGCATAGCTAGGTTTTAGCAGGCTGTACAGTCAGAGACATTTGCTAGTTCTAGATATTTCTTCCTTATTCTGCAGGAAAGGAGAATACGTCTTTCCTGTAAACAGAATTGTCCCAGGCACCACTAAAAGAAAGAAACAACAACCCAAATTTTAAAAAAGAAAAACAAAATCAAGGATGTGACTTCAGAAGGCTCAGCTTCTGTACGTAAAGCCTTGGCAGCTATCCAGGAGTAAATCATCAATATGGCATTTCCTTAAAACCTTCTCTGTAATGAAGAGCTGCTATTTTCCCCATTTCTTTAGTTCAGTCCATTTGTAAATCTCATTCTTTGGTCATCTAAACTTACGATGAGTTTGTTGTCTTCCTGTAACAGAAGTTCCAACATCATCAGTGTTCTCCTAATCCATTTCCAATAGTGATTTATTAGAGACCAGAAAATTACTTCCTTGGTATGTTTGTCTCCTATCAGGCAGTAACAAAGAACTTAAAATCAACTGATTCACCCAGTCTGTGCTGCTAAACAAAAGGAAACTTCTGACTTTTTCTAAAAAATTACAGCATAGAATTAAAGGGGGGAGAAAGTCTTACAGGCCTTTCTTAGGTTTGTCTTGTCACCCTTCTCATCAAATAATTAATGAAGCAGTACTTCTGTCAAATCTTTTTCCTGATGACATGTCAAAGTCTCAGCTGGGAACAGAGATAAGGGCCCAGGCACCAAATTGTGCACAGCATTTTATGAATCATGGTCTAGAATTTTTCAGTGCTCCACATTCTCTAGCAGAACACCTGTACTGGCTCCTCCCTGACACCAAAGATCAAGACCAAGAAAAATATTGCCTGAGATAATCTCAGTGCAAGATCTCCCAAGTGTATCAGTTGTGGAATCTAGCTCTAAATGTAAGAGGCTTAAGGCATCCTCCTTACCTGGTCCTGGGTCATGTTAGGTCTCAGCCCCCAAACCTTGTAGAGTTGAACTTAATTCTTTTTATAACAAACTGCCAACTGGAATCACATAAGAACTGCCTGGATTTCACTAAATGGATTAGACTGGCACACTGAAAGTGTTATCACTGAAAGTGCTGCTCAGGAAAGGAGTTCCCATAGTTGACCCTGGAGCATCCCCACTACTTAGTGTTTTGGACCACTCCAGAGACCTCTTGTTACCTGAGACAAGGCTTCTGTGGAGAGTGGGAAGATTGGTGTGAGCTCCTCTGTGCTGAGGGTGAAGTATGGTGTGAAATGCTTAAATACAGTTTGCTCATTTCCCAGGAGGAAAGCATCATTTACATAGATTAATCAGACTGGATATCTTCATGTGAAATCTTCTTGACTTCTCACAAGTAAGTCTGGTGGCATAGTGTAAAACCACTGTGCTACAGAAATGATCCTGAAATTATGAAGGGGAGGTCTGCAAAATAATTTCTGTAAGGCAAGAATGAATACTGGTTTGAAAATCTTCTGTGCATTTTTTAAACTGGAATTTGTGATATTGGGTGCTTGGTATGGCTCAATTTAAAACAGATCTTCATGTTTCTGCTGTGATAGTTAAGGTTGTCTGAAGGTCTTTGCAGTCACCATCCATACTGTAAATACATAGCCTTGATCTCTGTCTTCTGTGCATTTAAGACATTTGCTGCACTTCCCCGTTTTCCCTTACTTTTATGAGACTGATCACATTACCCAGTCCCATAGTTCCTGCTGCAGTTGAATCCCTGCTCTTTTGAGCCTGACCTTGTGGATGTGTGTCATCTAATTAGAAGCAAGACTGTGAAGGGAAACAATTTTCTTTTAGTTAAGATAAATGATCCTAATGCACCTGGTTTTGGTGAAGTTTAAAAGACTACACAGATTAGTCGTGCACCACTGTCAGGGTTAATCCTAACCATCAGTGTTCACATACCATTAAATGTTGGCTATTTTCCTCTCATTAATATAGTTAAGAGCTGATACATTATGTTTACCACAGTTTTCAAAGGTAATTGAAATACTCGATTTTGATCTAATTGGTCTAGTCTGTTTTCTCTGGGAAGGGGTCTTCACGTGAAACTCTTTTGAATGCTTCAGTCAACATCTGTAATTTATTAAGGTATCTGCTGTAAACCTTCAAAACTAAATAGTTATATTTGTAAGGAAATGGCAGTTCTTATTGAAAAGAATGAATACTGTGTATGTTAATGCAAACTATATTGTAAGCTTAAGGTAAGGAAGTAGACGAGTCTGTAGTGTTAGGTGAGAGAGCACAGGACAGAGAGGATGCAAAACCAAACTGGAAGAGGCAGCTCAGTATTGAAG